TGCCAGAGAGCGTAGTAAACGGTGCTGCTCCTGCCTTTGACTCCTGGGCTCGCCAACACCATGCTCGTGAAGGAGAAGACGAGCGACAAGCAGTGGAATCTCAAGTGCTGACGATTCCGGGCGGCGAGTCGCTCCTGCTAGACGGTGCCTTGGCCATGGATAGAACAAAGCCGCAAAGAGGGATATTGACCTCTGTCGAGCACCATGTAGTCAAGAGTCTGTATCGGTACCTGCTGTCCGCCGCAGAGAGACTCTTGGAAACACTCACACTACTGACTCGTGATCCGTGACTACAACTCGTGGATCAGTCTGTGCGTCGTGAGTGTGAGTGCTGCGAAGCTGAGCTTGACGCGCGCGCAAAAGATGCTCGAAGCAAACGCACGCGTGCGCCGCGGCGGTCTGCTGCCGCGAACACGAGTTTCAATGCATACGCGGTGGTACATCACAATCAAGAAGGACAGCTCCTAGCGTTCCCGACCTTCCCATTCTCAAACTAGAGCTCCTATCTCGGGACATTCGTGGCCATCTCGCAGGTCGATAATCATGGAAGTAGGAGCACTACTTGGCGCATAGCCTGAGCTGAGCCACTACTCATCACTTGTCTCATTGCGCATATTGCACTGCCTCGTCCGCAAGCAGTTCAAAAGGGAATGCAGTCCAATACCTTTAATCTCCAACGCTAAGCGATCTCAACGAACCAGTATGGTGTGGCTAATTGAGGGATGCTTTGACGGAGATGGCAGTGCGTAGCCTGCTTAGATCTTGGCTTGTCTTACTATAGCATATTGACCGACTTGCAAACCTTGAACCTCTATCCTCCATAGCGAAGCCGTTCTCGAAGCTCATCAAGCCGAACGCTAAGTACACCTTCGGTCGCAAGGAACCGGCTGACATAGTCATCAAGTCGAAGCTTATCTCCCAGGAAGGAGGCTATCTCAAGACGGGACCCTTCACCATTGACGATGTAGCCGACGTGCACAGCAGACCGTCAATAGAGATCACTGCTGGCAAAAAAGGTGTCAGGATAGTGCCTGCGAAGGAAGTGCATAAATGGGAAGCGAATTTGGATGGTTACGTCGGCATTATCATCAACGTAGGGGGAAAGAGAAGCCTGGAAGATGGCGACCTGATTATTTTTGCCAGCAAGCTTCCTCTGAGGTGAGTGAGAGTGTTCTGTGGGGATTGCGCAAGCTCCGTGCAAAAGCGGAGGGTTGTCCGAGGCGAAGATTGTTCCCGTTGCATCCTCGAATCCGTTTCGACTCTGCGCCTGATGTTGTGTTGAACATACTTGCAGTCTCAGATGGGCGTCATTCGCGTTTAGCATCCCTCGCGATGGAAAGATCGAGCCCGAATGGGTCCCGATGTGTGCAGCGACTGGTGAGCAGGATTGCATGATCTTGCCTCAAATGCTCTTGTCCCTAAGAGCCCCTTTCTCAGTGCTGACAACACCTGGCCGCTGCTAGGCATACATCTCGCAGCCGGCAAGAACATTCTACCAGGCTGTAATTTCTATATGATAGAGAAAGCTGGCTTGACTCTCAACGTACTCACGGCGCTTGCGACAGCGATGTCCATCGTGACTTCTTCGTTCCTTCAAAGATTCTTGGGTACAGCATCGCTGCCTAGATTGGACGAGGAGTCCCTCGAGCGAGAGTTCAATGAGCTCGATCCATACGACTTTCAGCCACCCCTAGGAGATGACCTGATTCAACCTGACGCTTTGGGAGATGACGCGGATCACAGCACAGTCCTGGTGGCGGACCATCGCAGGCCACACTTGCTGCAAGGCGTCAGTCTTTTGTTCGTCCGCACGGGTACTGGAGAAACTCCACATCAAAGCCTGCTTGCCGAGCGCGTGGGTGCGAGGACAAGCGTGATTGAGCCGGACACTCCAGAGTTCAGCTCAGACAGGGCCTTGACCCGATTCATTTCGGATCACGCGCAAACGGCTCAAACCCATCTTGAGGCGGTCAAGAGCCAGAGCACTTGGATCACGCACGAGTCCGGGCTCGTTATTCTAGTAGAGGGAACGGCCGCAGTCGGCGACACTGAGTGGTTCCTTCGCCTAAGGCGTGTCGCGCTAAGGCAAGTGGGCTGGCACTCACGCGTGCTTCCTCTTTGCTGATAGGCCTCTCCACCTTCACACAGCTTGCGCATAGCAATGCCCCTGGATGGTGCCACGTGTGTGACTCGGACCATCTTGCGAAGTAGCGTCAAGCAGATCCTTTTTCGACCACCTCTCGATCCGCTAGAAGGTGCATCACACCTCGAGTCCGTCCCTCGAACTGATGAGCCCGCTACTCAAGCCCCTGCGCCAGAACCCCAATTGGAGACTGAAGCCGAAT